CTCACTTGTGAAGAACGGGGTTTAATGGCAGTAAGAATCGTCTGGTGTTTCCGGCCCAGCCCAAATCATCCTTTCCCCCCAGTACAAACCAAGGTATATTGGCCAGCCCGTACTTCATATTAGGGCGGGGGGGGGGGAGGCCGGGAGTATTTATCGTAGAACACGTACATTGCGAGGGGAAAATAATAAGAGCATATTGATATTAATTTGAAAGCTAATCAAAGTCGATTAATCGATGAAGTTTACCAAAAACTGTCAAAGCGTCAGAAAGCCAGTCAACGTCTTACTATAATGAATTGGCGAATTGACATCTAATTAAAACCTGAATCAAACCAATTTTAAAAACAATGTGGAATTTTAATCCAATCAAATGAAACCATAAAAAATCCAGTTTGCATGAATTGAAAGTTGAGTCAAATTCAATAAAACATCGAGTCAAGCTTGATAAAACATCGAATAAATGAAATGAAGATCGATTAAATTCAGATAAACTAGAGATGGAATGAATTACAACATATTACGAATCTAATTCGACATCTAATCTTAAACCAATAGGAATCCAAGAGTAAACTCCAGGAAAGATCGCTGAAACCTAAGAACAACTGATGAAACGTACTTTCAATCGCATGAAACCAAGCAAGTAACATCTATTTGCACTCTAATTAGAACCCAGTTAAAATCAGTGTACAATCAATTCAAAATCGTCATCAAGCCTGTTTAACACCGAAATAAGAGCACATGAAATCTAGCTAAATGAAAGTAAAATCAACTGGCATCTAATTAAAGTCTGTTTACAATCTAGTTACAAACGATATAAAATCGCAATACGACCCACTAAATAGTTTCGCACACATTTTAGAAATTCCTTTATATACCATTCGAAAACATTCAAAATTGAGGAAGTCAAGGAGATCCCTAATCCTTCTTTATTGGTCATGCTAGGGCCGCGCTTTAGTCAGAAGATCGGGGCCTTTTTCTTACGTAGTCTTCGGGGCAGATTTCAGATTTTGGAATCCTCGGGAACCCGTATTTCATATTGGAGGGGTTTTAATTTAGGCGGACAGGTTTTGCAAAGCTTCACCAGAACCCAAGTAAGATTCCGAATGTTCTGTGGAGAGTGGGACAAGAGGCAGCGAACCATGGCTCATCCTTCAAATAAGGCACCTCCGAATGGTTGGCATGCTTGCACTTGTTGATGCAGGAGCTGAAGAAATGGCTGATAACCTCGCTTTCATTCTGCCTAGAAGGCCTAGATGATACCTACCGCCTTGTTCGCGAGCTACTCCATGCACTGACAGTGACCTAGAGTTCTTACCCAGACGTAATGTTGCACAAGCTTTTTGTCCGTCTTTGATCAAACCATAATTCTGACATGGTAGTATAGGGAGTCGTTTACGAATCTAGGTACGTGACAGTTTCTTAAATAGGGAGCCCCAGATATAGACCCCAGTATAGTATGTAGGGACTCCAAAAAAGAGGGCCCTACGATAATGTTTGGAAACCCCCATCCTTATAAAGCATTCTACAGTCCCAGTTTCTATTATTGGGGTAGTATCCTTAACTTCGAGCTTGGAGAATTCAAGGGCCGGCCTCTGGAATTCTCAGATAATGTCACGTCACCCTCTAATATGGCCTAAGTCCCACATTTAGGGGCCCTCGGACCACTGAGGCTACTGGGAGGATCTCGGCAATTGAATTGTGAGTGTATAGACACTTGAGATTTGATGGATTTCAACTTAATTTCGATGCTTCTCTGTCAAATTGTTTTGAAAATCAATTTTAAGCACAGCTCCCATCTGCACACGGTACAATTCAGAGGTAAGAAGAGCGCGAATTGCTTTGGAAAGCTTTGTAATCCTGTTGCAGTGTCCCTGAACACCCCGAGCCTTTTGCACAACTCTAAAGCGTTCATTGCGCAGGACTCTTGTTTCAAATAGTCAAAGCATCCTTCGATGTTGGTTCTGCGTCTCAGTTGGGGCCCCGAAGCGCTTGCACACAAAGCTCTCTAACATGCTCCGCACTGACCTACAGCCTACACATGACTTCTTTGACTCTCAACCAGTGTAGGCCTCACGGAACACCCAGAGGAAGCAGTATATGTTCTGGGGTGCACGTATTTCTCAACATAACATGCCTTATTCCGGTTCACAGGCATTCCACACGTTCTGGCATGTCGGGCGCAAGGCTTTAGATCTACTGCGGATGTGGCGATTCCGGCGAATTCAGCCTGACAGCACTGTGTCTGGTGCTCAGCAACAGATTATGCATAGGATGAGGTCCACACAGATGTGTTACCTGTCGTTGATCCTGAGTCTAGACCGATTGCAGATGAACCTCCAAGAAGGTAAGGCCGCTTAGTCAGAACACAAGTCTGAAGGGTCTGACGAGCGGCTTCAGCACACCATCCAGACATATGCCGTAAGGTGCCATCTAGGCTTCAAGAATGATCCTTGTACAAGGTGCTCGGTGGACATGTATAGAGAAAGTTACAAGGCTACACAGCGTTTAGGTATCCAAGCTCGTCTGGACATGTGTCAGCTGCTCGGGCAAGCACTGCAGCTGTGCTGTTCTCTGGCATGACCTGACGAGAAGGTATGGCATCGCAGCCAATGCATGCCGGAAAGGCGCTTCTTGGCAGGGTGCGGTGCAGGTGGTGCGCCACATGGAGGCCGTGTAGGCTTGCATGCAGATGTAGCTGTCAGTAGTCAGTATGGACGGAATACGTCATAAGTGCATCTCGACTAAAATATATGAGTGTCCCCTAAGCCCTACTCCAGCCATCACGTTTTCAGATGCATAGCATCCCCAAGCCCCTGGTGAGGCTGGGCATGTTCAGAAGGATGTGGTGACCCTGAACACCTGCCTCAGTGCCATGGTAGCTGCTGCCAAGTGGCAGCGGGCATTGACACTTTTGCAGGGCATGGTTTGCAGCAACCTGGCGGATGTTGTGTCCTTCACGGAGGGTTTGGCAGCATGCGGGGCCGTTTCCAGGTGGCTGCAGGCGGTAGCTCTGTTGCGCGAAGCAGATGAAGTGGCAGTGGCACATGACTCCCACAGCTACAACTCTGCAATCTCGGCATGCGACGGCGCCGCATGCTGGACAACAGCATTGCTTCTTGCTGAAGACATGCGTCGGAGGCAGGTACAGCAAACTCTGGTCAGTATGAATTCGTGCATCAGCGCTGCCAGCAATGCAGCAGTGTGGGTGATGGCCGCATCCCTGTTTGAGAATCTGCAGAACATGCACCTTGTGGCCGATGGCATTACATATGGGTCCATGATCAACGCCTTTCAGAAAGCGGCACGCTGGCAGGACGCGCTGCATGTCATGGCAATGTGGCAGGGACGCGGGTCCCAGTGGACCCAAGCAAGGATGAAAATGTCAAATTGCCTGCGGCATGGACATAAGTTATGAAGTACAAATCACGGGATGTTGTGTCTTCCGCGTCCTCGCACCTTTTGCCACGGTGACAGCTGCTCGGCAACATGCTGGTTGCCTGATACAAGCAAAGAGTTTACTGTATATCACATGTGCAGATCACAGTCACGGCAGAAGGCAGACACTCCATCACAGAGCGCCACCACTCCTCCAACAAGTAGCTTAGGCCTAGAAAGCTGAACTTGTCTGAAGCAGCTATGGTATCCCGATGCCACCGCCGTCAATCCAGTTGCTGGAGTGCTGATGAGATATGCATTCGGACAGCCATGGGTTCTTGTACCGTTTCACGGCTGATTTGAGTTTCCGTCTTATAAGGACTGTTCCTTTCCCGTGATATTACGAGTACGCCAGTTCATAGGGAGTCATGGGGGCTTCTGTGGGTATGTTTCTCCCACACACCCCAGTACCCTGAAGGCTGAAACCCACAAGCACTCAGCTCCCCAATGGGCTTGGGGCAATGCCGGAGACTTTGGCCAAGCAACCACCATCAGGGTCATGCCTAATACAAAATTACTGGCATCACTGCTAGCGTTTACTCATCGGACCGATTTGATCGCCACCGTCCCAACACAAAACTGCCGCCGCCGCTGGCGCCGCCCCGGCCCCCGCCCCCGTGACCAGGGTACCAGTAGAATCTTGCAACAGCTTTTGGGCAAGTCCTGTAAGATTGTGAATGAGCTGGAGGCTTCTGTCAGCTGTCGCAGAAGCCAGAAACTGGGCTGCGTGATGTGATTCACTTTGCTATTCACATGACAAGCGCCAACGACCAACCATTACCATGATGGTTAGCATCACCATAATTCCAAAGTTTGCAAGTGTGACCCATACTACGTATGACCATTCTTCCTGACAATATGAAGGATGTGTCTGTTGGTCAGAACATGCGAGGGCAAGTAACGCCTTCATACAGAACTTTGTCTGAACCCGCGGCCGACCTTACGGTATCTGATGTAGAAGTTTGAAGAACAAAAAAAACATCCCCTGGCAATCATTGTGGAGTTGTAGTATTTTGGTAGAAGCGTATAGCGTATACCCTAGAAGCACGCTTCGTTGAATGTATGGTTTGTGCTGTGCTCTTGTTTGCACCTTGGCTGCACATGCGGTCTTTGTTGAGATCCTTGACCTAGACTCCCAATACATGTGTGTACAAAAGCAGCGTATTTGTTAAGATTAGGATGCCTCCACGAAAAGGAGTCGCCTCTATGTAGCCCGGAGACACCATACTCCTTTTTAAAGCAGCCAAAATGGTCCCCTTTTTCTGTGTTGGAAAGCCTCGAATGGCCTGCTAACCTGGCTACACTGGAGGAGTCTCTGAAGCTGAGGAACCAACCCAGCAGAGTGCCAGCAAGCAACTGCAGAAGCATTCTTCGACGCCTGGCAGCAATCCAAGCTGGGCAGTCTTCCAGACCCTTCGTCTACCCCATGGGACCACGTACCTGTATTCAAGGGTACAAGAAGGGTCCTGGTATTCACATATCCGCAGAAGCCTGCCAGTCGTAGTCTATTTTGTAGTAAATCCCCTATGAGGGTCCAAGGACCCAAACAATAGGGTTTTGGGTCCCAAATACTATAAATGGTATTTGGGCCCTAAAGCCCCATTATTTGGGTCCTTGGACCCGTAGTTATCTACTCAAGACTGCGTAACTCTGCGAGAAAGCCTGGCTTAGCATGAGTTGAAGCTGATACAGGCAGGTATATGCCCCCCCTTGAAGGAACACATAGGGCAAATCTTGACAAGCCCATGTCCAACTGAAATACACACCCACACACATACATTATGTGTATGTCGCGATGGCCAGGTTCATGCGTACCTCTAAGCGGGGCCAGAGCAAGGTATCTTCAGTCAAAACCGAAATTAGGGGTCTTATAGCCCTACTTATAACCACTTCTGAACCTCCAAACCTCCAAGCAGGATCTAATCTTTCCGAACTCTGGCGCGCCGGTTCTGGGGCGACCGGGCGAAGACCTGGACGCTGCTTTTGACATCTCAGAGAAGCAGTGCCGCGGCGCCAAACCTCTGCCATCCCCTTACAATGAGCATCCCCTTTATGCCGCAATAGCTATGCTGCCTGTGTATGGCAAGTCAACAACACGGGAAATGCTCATTATTAGGGAGAGTGTGCCACCATGGAAATCCGTCCAATCCCTCCACGTCTCCACCTTAAGCTGAAGCCCTAGCTCCTAAATACTGCTAATCGTCAGCCAACTTAGACCCCCCACCCCCGTGGGGTAATGCGCAGCCTTTCATTGAGGTGCCATTGAATTCGCAGCTTCTAAACTTCCTTCGGTCTTTGAGATTTATTGAAATCCTTGTCTGGGTTCGCATACAAATGAGATTGTAAAAACGGGTTCGTTCAACAACTTGTCCTGGCTCGATCGGGGGCGTGGGTGGGTTCAGAACTGTTTGCAGATCCTCTTTAACCTGCTTTTTTGCCCGGGGTGGGGGGTTGCAAGGTAGCTGGCAAGCTAAACACCTCGTTATCACAGGGCACTTTGGCATGGTCGCAGGTCTTGTTTTGGGCTTGCCGCGCTCGTCATTCCACGCAAGCTTGAACCCAGCTTCCCTGTAGCATTATTTAAAGATGTGCATGTAATATGGAAACCGCCAGAGAAAGTGCTGCACCTATCGTCAGTTTGTTCTTGATTGGGCTATCCCCACTTTGTCATCCCTGGAAATGTCCATTTTGAGGATCATGCAAGAAGCCTGATATGCATCCAAGGTTGCTGGGTTGCCAGCATGCTGGCTTTGTTCCATGGCGTTTTGGACATGCCTTGCTGTGTGTGGCGCCAGAATGTGACTCAGCGCCTTGTCTGTTCTTTGGGGCACCTTCTGACCAGATGGTTGAAGTAACTGGGGATCATCCCCATAAAAAGCCTTATATAATCCCAGTTTCCATTTCATGTTCTATGTTCTTTTTCATGTGATTCTTTATTAGAGGGGAGATAGTTACTTCATTTATTAAGTTCCCTAACAGCAACCCAGTTGAGCTTGGGTTAGTCCTTATCACCACAATTCTACAAACTGTCATAAGACCAGGCCTGGTCTTGCGATTTGAGTATAAGTATAATATAGCTATGACGCATCGCCTTGCACGAGCTTTTCGGCATTTCACATTTGCCCTGTCAGCAATTACACGCAGCTGCATGGGAGGCATTGGCTGCAAGGCAGCTTACATCTTGTGTTAATATCCAACCCTGGCCAAGTCAATACCGAAAGTCACTGCATGGCTTCGGGCTTTAAATGTCCTTGTGTTGCTTCAACTTCCTGTATGAACTCTAGTTAGAACCTTTTAACAAGCATCTCTTCTAGACGCAATGCTTGGAGCCCTTGGAGCCCCACTGCTCGCATGTGCTCACGCTTGGCAACATGCAAAGGGGCAGAGCTGTCAGAGCTGTCACGTTCCTCTTCCTGTTTAGTGTATCAACAGGCCCGTGACTCCAAACCTTCCACAATCCCACTTTGGCCTTTTCTTCTTTTCTGCTGCCACACAAATCCTGCACCTACAGAATTCACATGTTGTTGCTGCTCGGTTTCGTACGCAAAGCAGGAGTTACTGGTGCGCGACATCGCCATTCCAGCGTTCTTGGAAGCAGTCGGCGCACTGCTGACGCCAGAGGAGCTACTGTGGCGACATGTTCAGTCCACGAGTATTGGATTGATTGCGCACGTTAACATTGGGGGACATGTGTGACATTGTGCTCGAGGATATTGCTCCGATGCTTCTGCAGAGAATCGGCATCTTGGCGAATTTGGCCCCGTGCCTATCACGACTTTGTGCTGTGTCACAGGGGCTCTCAGCACGCTCAGGTCATTGGCAAGAAATGCACCTCGTCTGCTGACATGGTTCCGATAGTTATGCTTTGCCTCGGTGCTTCATGCCCTGTCGTGACACTCATCCATGATGAGATCGTTTTCATGTTGGGCTGCTGGTCAGGGAAGTTGACTTCGTGGTGGCGGGTTTCGAACACGGCGGCACAACCAGCATCGTCAGTCTGCTCCAGACAGCCGAGGAGATCGCACGACAAAACCAATGCACGTGTACAATGCTCGAGTTTGCATGAGGCATGTTGCAGCAGCCAATTTGTTTGCTTACCTGCTTGCTTATGCCGAAAGAGTCCGCAAGAAAGACGACTGACACGCCAGTTTCCCAGTTGCTGCGCATCTCGGCTGAGCTTGGAATGCGTTAGAAAAAGCCGGCAGAGCTGCGGAGCATCGCTGCGGAGCATCGCTGGATACAAACTTCTGCATCTTCTTCACTAAGCGCAATCATTGGCCAATCGAGCACAACTATGCGCAAACAATACCAAATTGATTGGCGTGAACAGTGAGCGAACTGAGTGAATGGGAAAGAGCCATGGAAGCGATCCACAACGGCAGCCCATGTAAATGCCCAGGCCTAGCATGAGCTGAGACTCCATAGACTCCCTGGCTTCCAACGAGGGAGGTCTGGGATGACAGAGTGAGATGGCTTCAGGACCACTCCGTCATGCGCACCAAGCCGCCAGGTTTGACCTTCAGGTTCTGGCTGGATTCGTGGCAAGTTGCCTGTCGGCCCACACCAGCACAAAAAGCGCTAGCTGATCTACACACCTTCGAAGCCAACGAGAAGCCAGGGCGCCCGATGCATCGTACGCAGATTGGGCCGGGCGTTGTGACATCAAGCCTCCTTCAGCACGCCGTGTGTTCATTGAATGATCCGATTTGCTGCTCAAAGTGGTTTTGCATGTCCGCGTGGCCGCGTTCGGATCGCGGCCACATCAATGCTGCAAGTGTGCACCGGGCAACCAGTCGTCTTGCCTGCCTGCTGAAATGACATTAAAAATGTGATCCATAAGATCCTGCCTGTTGAGATGATGTGGATCCACGAGATCCTGATTCAGAGAGATGCGTGCATCAACGATACCGAAAGGCGTCTTAGTCTGACCGTGGATATGGACGACCATTTCCGACGCAGTGTCGTCGCCCGACGTCCGCC